TTAGCTGAAGTGGCCTGCAGTACTGCACCCTAACCACTGCGCCACCTCGGCTAGTTAGACTTATATACCACTTCATTGCCCCCAACAATCCGGGTCCTCATTTTACCCACCTCGGAAGGATGGAAGGCTGAGTCAACCCTGAGCCGGTGAGATTTGAACTGCCGAACTGCCGAACTAGCAGTCAGCTGAAGTAGCCTGCAGTACTGCACTCTAACCACTGTGCCACCTTGGTTCTTCTATTCATTATTTAGATGTCCATTCAAGCATACTTCCCAGCAGTATTTTCATTCTACATTTCAAGACTAGAGAATTCCAACTTGAGCCTAACTGGTATCTCTTGATATTTTTTTTTGACATTCATTCTATACTCTTCTTTTCTTGAAATATTTTTTTCAAACATCTCCCAAACTTTCTTGGCAGTAACTGTGTCTTTGTCTAACAACGAGAGTAACATTTTTACTCTAGGTGTTCTTGTGTTTATACTGAATGGCTTTATTGTCTGGAGTTCATATTGAGCTATGAAATTAGCCAGGCTTAGATCATGAGCATATTTACAATGACATACGTTCCACTAAATTTAGTAGAAATGACTCCAGACTGTTCAGGATCATTCAACTGGGTTTGGTTCAACGAAATATTAATGAATCCAGTGACATAATTGATGGGTGTTAAGTTTTGCTAACGGTGTTGTCTGTGTGAAAGCTGATGTATACTTCTCAATAATTGTGGCAGTTAGTAAGTGTACATCTCTTTTCCTTTGCCTGTTGCAAGCAATTGAAAAGTGAACTCTAAACCAGATTTTAATTATAGATCTATCACATGTTCTGTGAAGATAATAAAATAACTATTGCCTAAAGTGATGCAAGAACCATCTAAAATTTTACAAAGCAACCATCTGCTCTGTTGTACTGTATGGCACTGAATGCTGTGCAGCAACAACAGGGAGCAAAAGCTTTCTCCATGCCAAGGAAAAGGGAAATGCTCCATTGGCTATCGGGCATCTCCCTTCTTGACCACATCGCAAATGACACCATTCCAGAACATTTTGATGTGGCACCAATCATAGAGAAGATGAGAGAAGGTTGACTCCGCTGGTATGGACCAGAGAACAGCACTTTCCACTGTGGCCAAGGATGCCTACCAACTAGAAGTCAATGGCCGGCGACCTCGTGGGCATCCAGAACAGAGATGGCAAGACTCCATCAACAAAGGTAGGCAAGCTGCACCCTGGAGATGCAGCTGACCATGCCAAGTGGTGCTCAATGATCTGAAAAGCGGACCTTGCAACTGCGGGATTACACTAGGAGGAAGGAGGAGGAAGGAGGAGTGGGAGGAGGAGGAAGAGGAGGAGGAGGAGGAGGTGGTGGTGGTGGAGGAGGAGGAGTGGGAGAAGGAGGAGGAGGAGGAGGTGGT